TAGGACTAATGTAAACTAAAATTTTGAAATATATTTATTTCATGTAATTTATGTTGTTATTATTTGATAAAGAAAACAATAGTTCTTTCACAAAAGAACTGGGCTTCTATGAAAATCATGTTTCCAGGGCAGGGGAGATGGCTCAGTAGAATAAGTGCTTCCCTGGCAAGCACAAGGGCCTGAGTTCAATCCCTGGAAAAAAAAAAAGAAAGAAAGAAAGAAAGAAAGAAAGAAAGAAAGAAAGAAAGAAAGAAAGAAAGAAAGAAAGAAAGAAAATCATGCTTCCTTCTCTAAAATATGCCTCTCTAATGATGGTCTGTGAAGATGGCCCAGTCTTCTATCCCCCCACCTAAAAAGACCAGAAGAACCAAGTATTATGTTTAAATTTTGGAAATGGTCTGTGTTCTACAAATTAAGGGAAGTTCATAAATCAACTGCTTTTTAAAAACTGAATCCAAAATCTTTAAAATACAATAAATAAAATTCCCTCTCTAAAATACCCCTGTCCAGTGGAGCCTACTCACTTTAATTCACTACAAGCATACAACAAAAATTTTTGACCCCTCCCCAAGTAATGATCATCATCATATTCCAGGTCTAAAAGTTCTCAGCTAGGGCTGGAGAGATGGCTCAGTGGTCTAAAGCACCTACTTGGAACAAGGTTGGCAAAGCACAGGGACGGCGGTTCGATCCCCCAGCATCACAAGCCAGCCAGCCCCGCCCCCAGGTGGGCTGAGCTGGCCACACACACTAAATAAATGTAAATAAATAAATAAATAAAAGAAATACTTAAAAAATAATAATAAAGTAATTTTAAAAAAATAAATAAAAGTTCTCAGCTAACAAACATTATGTGACGTTCCCAGGAAATAAACACCCTGCTTTCCACCATTAATGTATACCATTCACTCATCAGTTTAGGTCATTCTGCTCCCAAAATGTGAACCCATACAGAAATCTTCGTAAAGAAGCCATGCATGTGGTTAGAGCCTATAAATCTGATCTGTAAACATGTGCCGCGAAACTACAGCAGGCTTCCTGTCACGCAGTCTTCTACCTACTCAGTCATCAATAGTATGGGGGTGGTGGGTTAAGATCTAATACAATGCAGCTTAAGGTTTGTTGGGTTTTTTTTTCTGCATTTATGCCCAAGCAATTCACATTAATGATGTGGAAGAACACTTAACAGACAATTTAAGTTTGCAAATTAACAAGAGAAAGGAGAAAAATGACTCTGAACAACAAGCAGACTGTATTACCAAATGCACTTTACACATTTATCCTGTTAAGTGTAGCTTAGTTTTGATGATTTACAATGCTAGCTCTTACTCAGGTTTGTAAGCATAATAAAGCCTCCGTAATCTCAGCCTTCCCACAGCACCCTGCTATTAAATCTTTGTTGAGAAGTGTGATGAGACCCCTCTGGCTTCCAGCCCTCCCTACCCCCCCGAGGGAATTGCCAAGAAATGATAGGGTGTGTGGATTAGTAAAATGAGAGGTTCTCTGTGCTTTCCCTTCTTTAAATATATATTTTGATAATCTGTCTTCTGCATCAGAGAGTCCCAATAGCACTAGAGTGTGGATTTCCCTCCCTTCCCAGCCTGCAGGAAAAAAGACAGCAAGGCCGGTGGCTTCCATCTATAGCCACAACTGAAGAGAGGGATTTTTTTTTCCTTCACCTTTCCCCCTGTTCCTTCAAGCAGGAATGATACAGTATTTAATTATACATGCTGGACTGCAGGCTAAGGAAAACTACATCACGAGACAAAGAAGAGAAAAATCATCCGTGTGAGTGTAGCCATATCGCTTGCTATCTTCAGGGATGGATTTGTCCTTTTCTACAACAAGGATGCTTATTCTGAATTGGACATCCCAGAATATGCCCAGAGACAGACCTGTGCTGTGTGTATGTGACATGCCCCTCCATGTCCTGTCCTGGAGCCTCTGTCAAGGGTCCCTGGCTTCCTGACCTCTACTCACGACAGGAACTGTTGCATTCTTAATCTACTAGGTGACTTTCAAATCTGGGACAGAATGGATTTTCTGGTTCCATATTTGACCTTCTTCTCCAAAGGCCTGGTTTGGTCTACGCTCATTTGACAAGTTAGGGTTTCAAGCTTTTTTAATAAGAAATAGATGAGTTTTCAGCAAGGCATGAGACAAGTCACCAAAGGAATAGATCGGAAGTTACTGAGAAAGCCATTAGTTCGGGAGAAGGATGAACCCAAGGCAGGGCTGCCATGATTCTCACAGCAGACCCTCCCTGAGTAACACCCGCCCAGAGCTGTTAGTCTGATTTCTGTTGCTGTAACAAAATATTCAATGGAAGACAACTGAAGGGAGAAATGACTGATTTTTCTTACATTTCAGATGTGTGAGTCCATGGATACTTGGCTTGGTTGTTTTCATGAGGCACAAACTTCAGCAGAGAAGTAACAGCAAGAAAAGACAAACAGAGCGAGCCAGAGAAGAAGGGCTATCTCCACCATCCATTCCCTTCATCTAGGTTCTACCTGCTAAAGTCACTCGATCATCAACTCATCAGGCAGGGCATTATTCCTTTGATGAGTTTTGCACTCTTAGGGTCTGATCACGCCCCAAAATCCTATCCATTATTCTTGAGGGGCTTTTTAAACCAAACCATAACAGCATTAGATCATATCATAACTGAGCCCCTTATTTCGCAAAACAACCAGTTACAAGGCTTCTGCCTCCTCTAACTGCATTCTTTAATTAACCTTCAGGTCCATAACTCAGAATTCTTCATACAAATTACTTATCAGAAAGTCTTCAGGTTATAGTCTAGCCAGGTAGGGTCGAACACATAAAACACAAGATTAATAGACAGAAAACCACAAGGATCAAATACACTGAAAAAAAAAAAAAAAAAAAGGCTGTTAAGATTCTGATGGAACAGGGTTGGAAGCTGGCATAGACAAGAGAAGCAGAAGACTTAGAGAAGAGACAAGGGACAAAGGCAAATTAGTAAAGGCTCAAGTGAAGCTGTATGAAGTAAAAAGACGAAAAGAATGAAAAGGGACAATGACAGATAGACCAAATCTGGAAGAAGGAAAAGTGAAACCAAGTTCCTGTCTCAATTTTGTGTAAAATGTAGCATTTTGTCAGTGAGTGTTGGGGGAAGCCCCAGAAAAGGCAGACAGCAGAAGAAAACTCTTGGGGCTTCTTCCCACAACTTATACTCAAAGGCTGGCATCAAGGAAGGTGGCATCGGGTATTCTTTTTTTTTTTTTTTTTTTTTGGTCTTCTTGAGACAGGGTTTCATTACGTAGGGCACGCTGGCCTTAAACTCACTTTGTCACCCATGTTGGCTTGGAACTCACAAGGACTGGGATCACATGCATGAGCTACCACACCCCGTCATGGTGCTCATTTAATTAAAATGCTTACAAGCGTCTTCAGATTTTTTCCAGATCACACTGGAAGACACCTCCAACCAACTCAAAGTTCAGCTTCAACAAATGGGAATGAACCCCAACACTGCTTCTCCTTCTCTTTATTTTTTTCCTGGCTTTTCTTCCACTTCTGCTTTGCCTCCTGCATCTACTGTGCATCAGCAGCACCCTGACCAAGGAACAGAAACAAGCCCCATTACGTCCACTTTTTCCTGCCAGGTGTTTCAGTAAATCAAAAGTAAGCTTTTGCTTTTCTGTCTTTGATTAAAATGTTGTGGAATGTGAGCATCACACAGACTCCCTGCTTAGAGAAAACTTCACAGTAAACCAAATATTTCATTAAGGTTATTCTTTAAAAAGGAAAGCAATATTTAATGTATAAATATGATCTTTACCATGGCATGTGCAGAAAAATCTAGCATTTTCCACACAATTGTTATTAAAGTTGTGAGTCTTGTTTCTCTTCTATTTCATAGGGCTGAATGTATGGACCACTAAAAGGCAGATTCTCCATACAAGCTAAGCACTCCTAAGTAAAACAAATTGGTGGATCAAGAACTTAGAATCAGAAGTTTGTCTTTTAAAAATAGTTGAATTTGATAATGAATAGAGAGACTTGTTCTAATAGTCTTTGTGGACAGGATATCATGTCTGCATTTTATAAATGAATAACCACTAAGACAACAATATGCAATGTGTTAATTATTGAAACTGTGCTAGTAATTGGTTTTGAAACTGTCTAGTTGCTGTTTCTCAGTAAAATTATTTTATAAATAAAAATCATTGAATTTTCAAGTATTCTTAAGGCTAGGGTCGCAGCTCAGTGAGTCCCTGGGTTTAGTGCTCCATGTGCATAAATAAGCAAATAAAGCAAGTAAGAAAGTGGCTCCATGGCTGAAAAAGAACTCAGTCCTGCCTTAGCTAGGTTTTCTTGCTAACAGACTGTACCCTGAGCAGATGCGTCACACTCGCTTGCTCAAGTCTCTCTGGTTCTACTTTGACCTGAATAACAATTCCATGAGGTTTGCTATAAAGCACTAGTAATCCCATTTGAAACATGCCCACTCATTACCTACACTGAATAAGATTTTCCTAAAATTACCTGTTCTTAGGAAAATAGATGTTAAATGAAGTCAGTTAAGCACATAAACCAGAAAATGTAAGTAAGTCAACAAAAGGCACCAATATACATCCATAGAATGCTAATGTGAGAAAGACCAACAGCGCCAAGGTCAACCAAGATATACAACAGCTAGAACTCTGCCACCTCATTGGTGGGTGTGGAAACTGGTACAACCATTCTAGAATCAGGGACAGAAGTTTCTCATGCAGACAAACCTACCCCACCCCATACCCTTAAACACCCAGCAATTCCACTCCTATGTTCTTCTCCAAAGAGAATTAAATTATACATGCACATAAAAATTCTAATAAGAAGATTCTCTACAAATTCATCACAACTGACAACTAGTCATCAAATAAAAGTAACCAAAACCTCCAAAAATAAGACAATTGAAAATATATTCACAGTCATACAATAGTGGTAGTATTCCTCAATGTGAAAATTACTCAGTAATAAAAAGAAACACACTGTTTATATTCACAGTAACACAAATGACTCTCGCTGACATGCTGAGCAAAAGAAGCCTGACATACAGAAAAGGGCGCATAGTGTATGATCTTGCTCCCAACAGAGAAAACAAATTGGTGGATCAAGAACTTAGAGGAACTTCCAGTGAGCATGATGTCTCAGAAAGGAATATAAGGGGACTTCAAGGATGCAAGAAATCTTCTCTTAAGAGGAATGTGGCACATGGATATGTGTATTTTTCCAAAAAGCATCAAACTATGTACTTAAGACTTTTGACTTTTATGTTAGGTAAATATTACATTACAATTATAGCACTGGTAATTCCAAACAGCATTAAACCCCAGTTAGTTTGCTTATTGTGGTAGCATGAGGAAGCAATTGTGAAGCTACTTAATGTGTGTTTCAGTCTTCAGAAGATGAGTAAATCTATTGAGGGTACTGAGTGGAAAGTGGTACAACCTTTCTACAATCAGGTACAGAAGTTTCTCCTCAAATACAGGATGGCAGTTTGGTTCCTGAGTAACCAAGGAGAGAGGTGGGACTAAGATTCCCTGCATCACTGCACTTTCTAACCATTCCAAATAAATCTGCCTCTGTCAATCAAGAAGAAGAAGAAGAAGAGGAAGAGGAAGAGGAAGAAGAAGAGGAAGAGGAGGAGGAGGAGGAGGAGGA